TCTAGATCGTCCAACTGCATTCTAGCTGTCCACTGTATCCCGTGCTTCCCCTCAGGTGTTGACGTCTTCATGATCCAGTCGATCACCAGGAGAAAGCGAAAGGATGAGAGTAAGCAACCTTGCCTGACACCGCTCTTTACTTTGAACGACTTTGTCAACTGTCCTCCATGCACGATTTCGCAGTTTAATGCATCATAGGAATTCTGTATGATATTGACGAATCTCCCATAGTTTTATCCTGTTCACTCTGTCAAATGCTTTCTCGTAGTCAATGAAGTTGATGCAGAGTGATGAAATCCTTTCAACTGATTGTTTCGCAATGATCCATAGTGTTGCGATTTGGTCTGTACACGATCGATCCTTACGGAATCCAGCCTGTTGGTCACAAAGTTGGGCGTCTACGCAGTCCTTCATTCTGTTTAACAATACCCTGTCGAAGACTTTTCCCGGTATTGAGAGAAAAGTGATGCCCCTGTAGTTATCACAGTTGCTGAGATCGCCTTTCTTCGGTATTTTGATCAGAAGTCCTTCTTACCAGTCTTTTGGTGCTTGTTCCTCATCCAAAATCTTGCTGAAGAGAATGAGGAGTATCCTTGCAGTTACCGGTACGTCTGCTTTCAGTGCCTCTGCTAGAATGTTGTCTGGTCCTGCTGCTTTGCCACTATTTATTTGTCTGATGGCCATGCTGATCTCTTCAATTGTTGGTGGGCCAACATTGATTGGGAGGTCCGTGGGTGCTGCTTCGATGTTGGTTGAGTTCAGTGGAGCTAGTCGATTCATGAGTTCTTTGAAGTGTTCTACCCACCTGTTTTGCTGTTCTCCAATTTTGGTGATTACCTTGCCTTCCTTGCTTTTCACTGGTCGTTCTGGTTTACGGTAATTTCCAGCAAGTTTCTTTGTCGTGTCATACAGTTGTCTCATGTTACCTTCTCTTGCAGCCTCTCCCGCCGTCATTGCTAAATCCTCCAAATATTTACGTTTGTCGGTTCTGATGCTCCTCTTAAATTGTTTGTTTACTTCTGTGTATTCGGCTTGTGCCTTGGCTTCTTCTGCTCTTGTTCGGCTGGTATTGATTGCTGCCTTCTTGTTCCTCCTTTCTTGAATCTTATCCAGTGTATCAACAGTGATCCATTCCTTGTAGTGGTGCTTATTGTGACCCAGAACCTCATGACATGTTGAAGTTGCTCTCCATAGTAGTTCCTTCTCCATTGAGTAGGTCATGAAAAACCTGGAATCTATTGCTGAGGACTATCTTGAATTTGTTGAGTTTGTCAGTATCCAGAATGGTCAGGTCCTTTGTTGGTCACTTCTCGATGATTGACTGCAGCCTATTGTAGAATTGATCTTTAGCGTCTTAATTGTGGTCGTTGGTGGGCGCATAGCATTGGATAACTTCCTTTGAAATGCCCTCTTTCTTTGCTTTGAAGGAGGCTTTGATGATCCTTGGTCCATGAGATTCCCATCCTATAAGTGCATTTTGTGCTTGTTTGGACAGCATCAATGCAACTCCTTGTGTATGTGGGACATTTTCTTCTTCATGGCCGGAGTATAACAGGAGCTCCCCTGAAGCTATTCGTTGTTGTCCAACTTGCGTCCAATGTGTTTCACTGATCCCAAGCACCTCTAGGTTGTATCTCCTCATTTCTGCAGCAATTTGGAAGGCTCTCCGGTGTCCCACATTGTATGAACATTCCATGTACCTAAATAAATGGTCGCTCTGGTTGTCAGAAGGGGCATCGGCCTCGTAACTTCCGAAGGAATTTGGCTTTCATCATGAGACGTCATAATTCTTCTAAATGAAGAGCTTCTGACTCCCGGGGCAGAGTTTAAAAGGTTTGAATAATTTTTCTGGTTAGCGTTTTTTTAGCGAGTTAGTTTTCCACGGGATGGGGACGCCAACCCCATGCCCAACCCTCCTCCTTTATCCGGGCTTGGGACCTGCAGTAGCCCCCGGAGAGACGCCAGGCGGAGTTTCCAATTTAGGTACCAAAATTTATTCGAAATTTACAAATAGTTGACCCACGTGTCGTTCTAACAACAATAATTATAACAATTACAAAGGAAACCTTCAATTTTGTAGGTTACCGGAGCAAAAACTCCCAAGTACCAAACTAAAGACAAAAGAAACCAAAATTGTATTAAGGCATAAGTTTGGAAGTTTAGTAAAACAAATACATCCAAGGAACACAGTGAAATTATTAATATACAATGTGAAGGTTTTAATCAGACAAATGTCTTCAGTTCTCCCGTAATGCTCCAAACCAGAAGAACCTTGGCTCTTTACACATACAAACAAATAGGCAGCGAGGATTCAAGTATGTGCATCTCGAACGATCAACAACAAACTCTCAGTGTGCCAACAGCCTCGTGATCCCTAGGACTTACACCAGGACGCATATGAATCCGAGTAGCTACATGACATCTACACCTTCAAGACGAAGTTTTCGAATATCTCTTACTAGGACTCCCTTTCTTGTTCTCAAGTCCTTATGATGATTAGGAGTATTTTGATTACAGTTGAGCGTGGTTTTAGCGAGTTAGTTTTATATGGGATGGGGTCGGTAACTCCATGACCAAACCCCCTCTTCTTTCTGGGCTTGGGACTGACAGTTGCTCCGGGAGGGACGTCAAGCGGAGTTGGCTACCTCTTATAGTTGTTACCAATTGGAATACATGGTTTAGGTGTTTATCTCTCTTCCCTTTACCTTCAGGATTCTAAGCCAGGGCTCACCATGGGGTGCAGTCTGATGGTTTCCGTGATGTATGGCCACCTGTATTTCCGAAAGTGTGCCAACTAGCTCCCAAAAAGTTAGTAATTATTCCGCCAACGAACAGCGCATGGGTATCTCCCTTGTACATGGTTCCTGAAAGGGACAGCAATGATTGGCGTCCAACTGATGATTGTCGGCGAGTGAATACGGAAATCACTCCCGATTGCTATTCCTTGTAGCACATTCACGATTTGACAGCTACCCAAAAAATGACTTTTTCGAAAATCGATCTTGATAGAGGTTATAACCACATTTCCCTTGGCTGCTGACAACATTCCTAAAACCGCTACCATCACTACATTCGGACTCTACGGAATTTTGCATACGTTTTTCGGTTCCTGAAGTGCTGCTTAAACTTCCCACAGATTCATCGACGACGTCTTTAGAGTTCTCAACGTCGAGTGTATATATATATATATACGACTGCTTGATCGCATTACCGGATGGAGAGTCTCACCTCCAGAATCTGGACCTTGTTCCGATACAACTTCAAAAACACGGCATTAATGCAGCTATTAAGAAGTGTTAGATTTGAACCGACTCTCTGGATCTTCTCGGACACACTATTGATGTTCAATGCATCCACCATCTGAAAAGCAAAATAACGGCCATTCCGGGTCACCCAGAACCAACCACAGTCAAGCGAATACGTACGTTTAACGGCTTGGTCAGTTTTCATCGATGGTTCATATTGAATCGCGTCTCTCATGAGACGCTTAACAGATCAACTTTGTGGAAATGCGAAACTCATTAACTTGGACGCCAACGCGTAAAAAACATTCTCCACAGGTAATGAAAGTATCAATAAATCAACTACTTACGGACACCAGGACATCAAAGCACCCCTCGTGGAACATAGATCGCCAACTGGAAATCCTCAACAAACACTGTCCTGGGCTCTTCTCCCTGGAACTTCCCAAGTGTTGTCCATTCTTTTGGCGTGTCTGAGGTTTCAGGGGCAATGTGTTCTTTGGTCTACCTCTTTTCTTTTTACCTTGAGGATTCCAAGTCAGGGCTTACCATGAGGTGCAGTCTGATGGTTTCCGCGATGTATGTCCTACCCACTTTCATCGTCTATTCCCAATTCCCTCTTCAGCTGGAAGCTGGTTTGTTCTCTCCCACAGTAGGCTGTTGATGATGGTATCCGACCAACGGACATTGAGTATCTTGCGTAGGCAACTGTTTATAAACATTTGTACCTTTTCGATGATGGTTGTAGAGTAGTTCTCGAAGTTTCAGTTCCGTACAGTAGAACTGTCCTGATGTTCGTATTGATGATTGTGACTTTGATATTGGTTGACAGTTGTTTTGAGTTCCATATGTTCTTCAACTGTATGAATGCTGCCCTTGCTCTCCCAATCCGTACCTTCACATCTGCATTAGATCCCACTTGTTTATTGCTGATACTGTCCAGATACGCAAAAGTTTCCACCTCTTTCCAAGCTCCATCAAGTGTGATTTATTTGTTACTTACTCTTTCTTTTTCTGTTGTTTGTTGAGGCATGCTGCCACTACACTGGCTTTCTTCACCTACATCTGTTGATGTGTGTGTGGGATAAGAAGGGCTAGGTCATCTACGAAATCCAAATCGTCTAGTTGCATGCAAGTTGTCTACTATACCTCGTGCTTACTCTTTGATGTGGAGGTTTTTGTAATCCATCTAACCATCAGAAGAAAGAGAAAGGGTGAGAGTAATCACCCTTGTCTTCACCCTTCTTTACCCGAAATGGAGGGATGAGCTTGACAGATTCTTAAAATAATAGTATGATCTTGAAGCCAGTTTTCAGCTATCAAGTGTTACTCAATCATAAATATTTGGTAAGAAAATAATGGCTTTCGGTAGCTTTAAGAAGTTTATTGATTTTTTAGGGCTTGGTTTCAATTTCCTAATCTTGATATTATGGAAATAACCTAAGTGCAAGTATATATGTAAAAAGCTTTTGTCAACTTTTTATGTGTATGATATCTTGTGCCCTAACACAGAAGAGTTAAGAAAAGCCCATTTATATTTCCATTACATATTTACTGTAGTTTGAATATTGAATCTTTCATGTATACAAATGTGTCAGGCTGAATGAATCCATTTCTGCATCTATTCCTTCATTGATCAATAACTTATGTATCCATTTACATTGACATTAAAAACACATATATATTCCTTCTCTCCTCTCATTTTTGCGCGTGTGCCTCCTAATTCAATGTTCTTCTGATCTAATTAATTGTTACTAGGTGCCCTCACAACACAACTCGTATTCTGGGTATTATTGAGGGAACAAAAGGATACTTGCAGAATTAGTCTGAAGTAAACACGCACCTAAACGGGTCAGTAAAATTTGAAGTCAATCAAGGAAAGCAAACATAAATTATTCGTTTTTAAGTGTACTTTCTTTATTTTCCCTATAGCCATGAATAGTTTTTTGGGATGTTCATTATCGCCTACTATTTCATTACTAACAAATTCACTGAAAATGTGATGAGACGGAGTTGTAGACAAACCATTGTTTTCTCCATGTTTATATGAAGAAGTCTTATGTTGAAATCATTACATGTTCTGCTATTCTTACCTCTCCAACTCGTTTCCCATTTACTAATTTTTTTCTGACTGCACTGTAAAGAATGTAATCTAAAACAAAACTCGAAGGTATGTAGGTATCAGTACCATGGTTTGACATGATAATTTCAAATAAACTAAACATTGGGTGGTTTATTATTGATTAGAATGAAAATACACTATTGACATCCCAAGTTGTGTAAAAATTAAAATTTCTGACATTTTGTAACTCAGTGGAACCCTCTTCTTCAGAGAATAGAAAAGGAATATATATAATATTCATAAAAACTCGAAATTAGTTGGCTCGGTTCAGATAGGCTTATCTCTGTACTACAATTTCGCCATTATTTTTATTAAATTTAAAAGTCCTATCTTTCCCTATATATATATATATATATATATATATATATATATATATATATTAGTGTGTCTTCGTCACCGTAATGAGAGTCAGCAAATTAGACCTTGTTTTATACTTGCAATAACCCCGTCTATTTGAGTTTCTGTGACCCTACCGTGAATGGTATCAAATGAAGTAACTTCGTACTTTTTCGACTGAGTATATTTTATTAATTTTAATTTGTATTGAATTAAACTACCGTTCCAACTGTGTTTACAGATTGAATGTTTCATGTTTTATGGGATGTCCAAGGTTATTAGCAATGTTTCAATGTACACAGCGTGTCGTAGTCAGCACTTCCCATTATTTTCTCGTTTATTTAGAATGTTGATTTCGCTTATCAAATTGTAATTTTCATTCAACAGTTCAAACCGTGAATTTATTGTTTCACATATGTTTTTCATCTGCGATGTCATGCTTTAGTGTACACCTAAAGTGTAAGGTTTTTCTCAGTAATGGTGTAGTGAACAAGAACACAAACGGAAACAATCGAATGTATTTGAATACGAAATTACAGAGCATCTTAGTAAAATCTTGGAACCATAAAGTAAATCCTTCATTTGCAAAATATCAGTCAAGTGTCTCAAACCTGACTGTTCCTTCTGCAAAATGTCAATCAATCGTCTCAGACTTCATTGTTCTTTCGTTTCAACACCAATCGTTTTTTCTTCTCGTTCTCTTTTCTTTAAGCTTCTTAAACTTCTAACTCCAGGCATTTCACTTTCAATTGATGACACATGCTACTTATGTCTGTCGACATTAGTAGCACACACCACAGTAGTAATAGTATCGAATGTTATACGCGAACTTGTAAATTCCCAGGTCTAAGCAGTACGTATCATAGTGGTCAAAAACACTGAACACATTTAGGTGCATTATATTGAATTGCATGGTTAGGTATGTACAAAACAAATTTTAAACGAACACTATAATATATTCATAACAGATAGTTGGTGATATCTCTATCCACTTTAAGTGAATTCTTTAATAATAGTTACACTTATATCCAGAATCTACTCTCCAAATGGACTGGAAAATAATCGAAAGTCCTGCGTGCGGTATACACCTGATCAACATTAGGAACATTGCGGATAACCTCAACTTTAAATCACTTGTCGTTTTTGAGTTAACTACGAAATTAATATAAAAAGCTGTGACTTACTAATTGAGTTGCTTGCGTTTCGTTGACTGAAGTGACACCTGCTCCGGCCATCTATGTTTAGGCAGTCAGTTTTTGATATTACTAGTCTTCATATAATCAGTTCAACTGAAAACCTTGAATACATGAGCGTAAACATGGGCCTAAAAAGTTACAAAAATCAAGCATCATGTAAGAGGAGTGGTTGGTGATAGATCTTCTGTACTCATTGCTCCGGTTTCTTCATGCAGTTGGCTAGTGCTTCAGCCGTTTGAAGGGCTTTAAGTCTAACAAGCTTTGGCAAAAGAATACAGACCTTATAAATAGTTGAAGAAGATTGGTTTATACTGTCACTATGATCAGTTCGTACTAAATGGGCCAATATCGAGCTGCTCACTTCATCAAACATTTGTTTAGCTGCGCTGGATGTTCACGAGCACGAAAATGTAAATTCCTAGAACTTCGACCAATAGAACTGGCTCCACAGGAGCAGTCGAACTGATAAATACAAAATTAGGTAGTCATTCTAGGTCATTCATCTGATGGCCTCGGTGTCGCCATTGGGCGTTAAAAGATTTTTGTATTGTCCTGTGTAATCTCTGAGTTAATATTTGACTAGCCACATCCCCTCTGAATTGTAGGCGCATGAACTGGGACTTCTTCACTGTTTGCATTCCACCTACTTTCGTGATCATATATTTAATTATAAATTTTCTAGGGTAACCATTCTCCCCGAGAGTATTACGCAAGGCGTTAGGCTCATCTTGAATTATATCAGCAGAACATATAGTGCGTATACGGTAACTAAGGGTTTTGATCAAGTTTTTATTACCGTAGAAGTTGTAGAATATACTAGTGGACGGGGCCGTTTCATCACGTTTAATTGTGTGTTTCTGTGGTATAAGAACTAACAAACTATTTGTAGTTTCTAACTTTTGTCATTAGATTCGAAAAAATAGACTGTCGACACGTTTATGTTCTCTTTCATTTATATGTAGGTAGATATACCGAAAGCTCCAGGATTAGGTCTTATGCTTAACCGAGTGGACTTTAGTCAGTATAATACAAAATATCAAAATGACGGTATCCATCAACCGATTGATTGGAGTAAATATGAAGTGAGTTTTTCGAATCACTCTACTACTTGCTTTATCAATTTGATACAAATAAACCTTTTTATTGAAGTCTGTCTGTGAACTATTTTCATTTCCAGTGAGGTTTTCGATAATTGTTTTTTATATCACATTATAAATTGGGGTTGTACCATATCGCAAATTAGTTAAAAGTCTGGATTTAGCCTCATGTACGAAGCTATTTCATTCTCGCGGTGAGGGTGTTATTTACGAAATTGGTAGGACGAAAAGCGAAACTCGGGCTCTGTAACCGGGTTGGTGGACACGGAGGGTCCACCTACGGGTGTTGCAAAACTCTGGTTACAAACCAATGGTACACATGGGCTCCAGTATTTTAAAGGGACAAATGGTGTATTAGCCTTTTGTTGATCACCAGCAACCATAAGACTATCTCCTTACGTTACTCCACTACCTTGTGGATTAGACGTTACGGTCAAAGGCCCAGGGAGTGGCACTTAAGCAGTATCTTAGCCCTCACACAATAGTTCTTTGACTTTTACGTAAGTCTGTAATAAAAGTTTACTATACAATTGTTCTGTCGTTTTCCACAAAACACCTTAGTCAACCTTCATACACAAACTCGATAACTCAGCACTTCTTTGTCTTTCACGAGTTAAAATCTAAATGTTTATCTAAAGAAGAGCATTCGGATAGTAATAAATATGATGTAATAGTCAATTTTTTACTTGTTCATTGTATCCTTGTTTTCCAGTGTTAGATAACTGGAGGCAAAACGTCGGTTTTTCCTAGGTTTCTTGTTTGCTGAAACTCACTCCTTGTCTTTTTTCTTTTCCAAATTTATTTCACTGGATTATACTCCTTGAATAACATCTTCAAACCCTAGTGTCTCCAATTACTGCTTATATTCTTACTACCTCTACCACTACGGGATTTGAATCGACAACTTGAGCTGTGTGCTAATGTGGTATGGCAACTTGAACTGATGTACGTACGTACGAAGTTCTACATTGTTACTGACTTGCTGAAACTCGTCAACAAAGTATATCTTTATTCTTTAGACAAATGGTGCTCTTTATGAGAATTCAATGTCAGTGATCACAAAAGTGACTGCAGAGCTATTCGAGCGCCAACTAACCTATCATAGGACTGAATATTTCACACACTAATCACAAAGCAGTAATATTAAATAGTGCTATACTTTTCTAGTCGTTAGCGCTGATGCTAATCTAGTGTGTAGTTTATGTGTTTTATTAGATTTTAAATGATATGCTCTGCCTACTTTTTTCCTTTCTATTAACAGGAGCAAAGAAACGAATTCAAGATGCAATATGTATATGAACATATTGATCGAATTGAGTCAGCGGAAAAGTCGTATCCTTTCACATTTATGAAGTATTCAATATTAGTTTGTTATCCGTACCACAGTCTTTCATGTACCCATGTAGTTACGTTTCAGTGTATAATTATTTCCTTGCAACTGTGGTTTCTTAGAAAAGGTGGTTATGTAACACTGATAGTTTTTCTGTCTTCTGTGCAATCACTTCCTAATGAAAAATCAAGTAAAAAGTGATCATGTCCACACTAGTAACTGGCTTTATATGTTTCGTCAAGCAAGTCTGCAGTTAGACTGAGAATCGATGCACGTGCACCATTGCTAACGATTTTGCGTATTCTAAGTGAACAACTGAATATCCTTGTAAAGATCAACCCTTTAAAAGTCAGACGATGAGAGTGTTATTTGGTAAAAGTTAAATAAACATGGGAATGCGAACAACGTTGACGAACACCACTTGAAGTAACTAATTCCGATGACAGATGGCCATAAGCTCTGACTTAACAATTAGTGTTGGAGTAGAGAGCCTGTACGATGGTAATGTACTCTGGTATTCCTTTCAATGCCAGACATTGCCACAGAACCTCACGATCAACAGAGTCGAACGCTGCCTTAAGTTCAGAGAATACAACTATAGTCGGACATCTGAAAGTATATTCCTGTTCCTTTAATTGCACTTCGAAAATGCAACGAGATTCTTACCTAATCGTTGTTGCTACCCTGACGTGGTGGTCGGGCTTGCCTATCGTGATGAAGCAACCGAGCTATACTGGCTGGAACAACCGTTCCTCAAGGTCCTACCATGTCAGACAGGTCGGTTGAAGAGCGGTAAGACTAAAAGCAACAAACCCAAGGTTCGAAGGCGAAGTCGTACTGCTGACTGTACAGAGGTGTGAGGGCAGTAAGGTGCTTCCCTCGGACAACCAGCATGACAGCGATGCTGCCTTCCCACAAGGAGGGGTGGGGTTAGAAAAGGTCGACCCTAAAAATGTCACACCACCTTACCTCACGGATATCCCTCTCCGGCGGTAAGGTCCCAAAAAGTACGGAGCTAACACAAAACTTACCCATAAAAAGGTCGTGTGTGACCGACCTCAAGCAGTTGTCTCTTGGGCACTGTGGTCACGCCTCAGGTCACTAAGACCACCTCTAATCCAATTTCCTTTTCAGGTACTTCCAGAAGAACCCTTCCACGGTGTGGGCAACCGGAAAGTGATAACCGCATTCATACCTCTAACAGGACTCAGGACCACTGTATTCATAATCAACCTCCCTCTTCAATTCCTATTATTCCTCCTACATCGACTTTCAACGCTAA